TTATTTATATAAATATTTTAATAGTACATATCATGAGATGTGTACTCTAATTAAAAAAACAACACCAGAACTACAACTACTCATCACTTTAATCAAGTATAATAATATTAATAATTTGAAAATGTCAATTGTTAAAAAATTATTTGGTGGATCTCCAAGTAAACAACCATCATTATTTAAAACATCCATATATAGAAAATCAGATCCATTTTATAATTTTATTAATCAATTTAGTGAAAATGATTTAATTCAACCATTAATATCTTCATCTCTTTTACCATTACCAGTTGATGTTAAAGAATCAGATAAAGAATTTGAATTACTTGCTGATATTCCTGGTTTTTCTAAAAATGAAATTAATTGCCTAATTGATCAAGATAAACATTTGTTAACTTTAAAAGGTGAAAAGAAAGAAGAAAATGAAGAAAATGAAGGAAATTATATTATCAAAGAACGTTATTATAATTCCTTTACAAGACATTTTGATATTCCTTCAAATGTTAATTTAGATCAAATTAAAGCTCAATTAAAAAATGGTCAACTTAAATTAACAATTCCAAAATTAGAAAATCAAAATGAAACTGAAAATGTTAATAATATTAAGAATATTGAAATTAATACTTTAAATGAATAAATTTCTTTTAAATTTCTTCTAAATTTCCCATTAATTAAATATTACAATAATATTTAATAATATACTAATAATTAATAATAATTATAATTAATTAATAAAATAATAAATATTAATAATTAATCTCTTCTTGTTCTAATTTGATGTACAAGTGCTGGATTTTGATTTTTTAATATTTGTGGATTAATTTGATCATACATTCTATGATTTTTTTGTACATGAAATTTCTCTCTTAATAATTCTTCATATTCAAGTCTTTCATTATGAAACATTAATCCTTTCTTTTCATCATCACGTACTCCTACTATTGCTAATATAACTGGTATTATCATTCCACTTGTTATTATATATATTTATATTATTATTATTATTATTATTATATTGATGATGATGATATATATATGATAATGTTCATGTTGTTGATGATGGTGATGATTATTTGTTGATGATAAAGTGATGATGAATAAAAAAGCCTTTAAAAAAGAAACGTACAATGAAGCATATTTCATTACTTTCATTTTTTTATATTTAATTTTTTTATTAGAAATGTTATCAGGAAATTCTCATCCATTAAATATATTTAATATTAAGAGATCACTTTACAATCGAGTTGTTTTTCATACACGTGTCGAAGAGTTTAAATTTCCAAGCAATAAGCCTTCAATGAATTTTACGTGTTTTAAATTTCCGAAATTTCAATTTGCAAAAAAATGTCCAACAAGAATAATCATCATCATGATCATCATCAGCCTAACTTGACGACTAGTAAGAAATATATAAAACAAGAGGAAGATGAATTATCAACAATAACAAGAAAGTTATCATCATCACCTACTACTACGGAATCACTTTCTCCTTCTCCACCTATAAAAGCCTCATCAACATCATCATTAGGCTCATCATTGAATTATGATAAAATTGATAAAACTGATAATAATAATAGTAATAATAATATATTTAGAAGAATTCTTAATTATATAATACATACACTTTA